AGTTGGAGTCCACCCATCTTCAAGTGGCCAAGGTTGAGAAACACTGCCCTAACTGGACATAAACAAATGTATACAGCTAGGAGCAAATCCTTCATAATTTCCTTTCCTCTTTATTGGGGACCTGCTCTTAAGGACACCATCAAGTCATCACATCGGAATTACAAGAGCATCCCAAAAGTCATTCAGACCCACTCAGGACTGTGCCTGTATGTTTCTCTTGCACCACTGAGATACTGAGGCACCTGGAGAAGATCCTCCAGAGGTGGCTTCATCAATCAGACAGAGAAATATGGGAAAAAGCCCCTTCAGTTAAACAGGTCCCCCAAACCATTTAGGGCTTTTAAAGGACAATGTTAGCACTTTGGCCCGAACCCCTAAAACAAGTCATAATATGACCAAATGATTACAGATGGGTTTAATTGTAATTCTTTACCCACATCTGGCTGCCTTCTATTCATATGATTCTAGACAACTCTAGGAATTTAGAAAATTACCATTGGTTTGTGTACAATAAATTACAAGGCCACTTCATCGTCTCTATCTTTTCTCTTGTTCCTTGTCCTGTTTATCTGTAACAAACACAAGTCCCACACACACAAGGAACCTCCTCGACACTAGAATGGAGATCTCTCAGGCCAAAAACTCTTAAACAGAAAACATGTGTAGGACAGATGTAGGAAAGCTGGGCAGAGAGAGATCTTTAATCTTCAGTCACACAAAACTTTATTCAAGAGCAGGAAAGTAAATGAACAAGGGGATTTGCCCTTGTGCCATATTTTTCATTAAATGTCCTACACCATAGCACGGTCTCCCCAAAGCTGGCATGCTGCTGATATTAAAAAGTCTAGGTTCCCCCCCCCCCCCCCCACACACACACAAATCTGGGAAGGTTCCAAGCAATAAGTGATCAGTCATTATGTGGTTTAGGAAGTTTGCCAAAAAGAAGAGCTTGTCAGGTGCAGAAGCCTAGGTCCATTCTCACAGGAGACCAGTTTGATTAGTGACATGAGATAACTCATGTTTGAGGGAATCCCAGGTTTCTTCAATGAGAAGAACAAAAGATGGGACAAGCTATGTTGTTGGGCAGTCTGCCCTCACCAGTGCTGCTCTGCCCTGTCTTGCTACAGATGGAAAGATATCATCCACAGCACACTGTCCATGGTTCTCAACTGAGCAGAACTATGAGAGCTGCCTGGCTGAACAAAGCACCAGAAAATGAAGGACAAGTGTCATCTTCCTCAGTCCATCCAACCTACACTTTGGCCTTTATCTTTTTAAAAAGCAAAATGCACTAATTTGATGTGAGTCTCCAAGCTCAGTTTCACGGAAACCCTACCAGGATTAACATAACCCCATTCAAGTTTTGTTGCCAGGCCCTCCGAGACCCCAAAGTGTTAAAGATCAAGACCACTGAAGCAGGCAATCTGCATGAAGTAAGACCACCACAGAACCTTTCCCAGAATTCAATTCCTTCTTTGCAACTGGCATGGATTTTTCAGAGCGCTCTGCAAAAGCTTTCTTACAGACTGAGTTTGAGCCCTGACCACTTCATCAGAAACAGCTAAACCTCATCTTCGATTAAACAGGCAACCCATCCATCAAGGAACAGAAGAGCTGACTCTGTATCTGGGCTAGGAGGAAGAGGAGTTTGGTATACACAGAACATCCCGGGTGCTGCAACAAGGTTTGTTCAGATCAACCTCCTTGTAGATCCTGCAAGGCAAAGTTTCTAAAAGGAAGTACGGTACAGAAATACAGGCTGAGCTTTTCTCCCTTGCAATTTACCTTGATGCTCTTCATGTCACAGATCTATTATGGGTCCAGTGAACTTATTCAGGGTAAATAAAGCATGGTAAATAACAAAGGGGATACTCAAGTGCTTTGGAATAGACCTATGCAAAGCAGCCTTTGGAAAAGATTAACATCTCATTTCCTGAACACAGGGAGCCAAGATTCTTTATTGACCTCAGTGAATTCTTGAAGCTAATTTGCTTCCCCCCACCCACTTTTCAGACCAAATCTGAAGGCCCAACCACTCCTGCTAATTTCTCACACCTCGTTTCCTATCAAGAAAAAATTCTGCAGGCAAGGGAAATCCATGGAGGTTCACCAGCTCAAGTGCACTACGCTTCATCCACTCTTTTAAAATTCCATTAAAATTCTTCCAACTGCTATATTAATTAAATAGGGTTGAAACACTTGGTTCATCAATAAATG